CGTCTAAACACACACATGTGCCTACTATATTTTGCAAATGACTTTGCAATTAATAGGGTCACATGTGGTGAATTAAATTAAAGGTAATTAATCATCACTCGCACGCGTAATGACGTATGTATGTACCTTCAGTCAGTTGCCAAACTAATTTATTGTTTTCGGTTCCAACCCGTTAGCTTTGTTCAAAGTACCACTTAATCCATTTTATTCTTATTCCCATCCCATATTTGGATGGAATCGTTTGACGGTTTTAAGTAAACGATTCGAAGAGGGTGCGCCGCTGTGAGAGTGTAGGGCCTTCAAGGCTGTTAGGACCAGTCAGGCGGCATGCAAAGCGTCAAAAATTTCAAGACACACGAAATAATCAATATACTCACTAAGCTATGGACCGGATTAAGTGAAAGTGCGTTTTTAGTTTTTGTCTCAGACGTCAGAATTTTTTAAAAGGACTTTCAAAGATATGTTTAATCCAAAAAATTATTTAAAAAAATCTGGAATATGCAATAATATGGGTACCAAATGAAGGAGTAAATTCTGCAAATCTTTTGGTTTGCAAGGACGAATAGGTATTTTGAAAATGTCCTTTTACCTAATTTTATTTTTTTAAGCTTATAAATTTGGAAGCGCGAAATTCTAAGATGTGGTCGTATTTATAATAGTTCTTAGTACACAATTTTTTCAAAAATACTTATTGCAGATTTACAAGGATGTTCAGGGATAAAATTTTAAAAGGCGTTTTCCAGTATGATATTTTTTGGAATGAATTTCCGTCATCCCTTGTCAAATTTGGTTTGATTCAGTACCTATTCTACAGTATTTTCTTTTTTATATAATACCCACATTTTGCTTATATAATACCCACATTTTTATTTTACATAAAACTGAGATTTTTTTTATTTTTTTTTGAATAAATCAAATTGTTGAAATTTCCTAATCCTTAAAAAAAAATCCTGATTTTAGAGAGAAAAACTAAAAACAAATTTTGCCTATTTTCGGCCCCTAGTTTAGCGAATATATTATTTTTTCCTGTCACACGGTGTTACAGTTGAGAAAATTGTTATCACAAGCTAATGAGATTTTTAGAACGGTTTCAGTTGAACTAACACATCAATGTCAGATTGAATGAGCATGCATTTAGTTCTATGTTTCTTTCTAGTTTTTTCTGATAGTGTTTTCAATGGTTTCTAATAGTTTTAGAATCTGTTAGACACAAATCTCAGTCAAAGCATGGGTGCGTCTGACGACAGCCTTAGTGGTACGTGCTGCATTTATAGTGGTTGTCAAGGTTTGGAAATATCAGAATCTAAAACTTTCTTTGGCCTTTGTATAATGGACGGACTAGTGTCATTCGTCTAAGCATGTTAACTTAAAGCGAGTCGAAATTTTATTGTATGTATATTCATTTAGTTGTATTTTTTTTTTTATTTCGCACAATTAACGTTGGCACATAATAACTATTACTCAATTAATTACACCATGGACTACAACAATTTGTGATTTAATGATAATTACTAATCACCAACATCTTCTCATTATAATCGCTTTTATTTTTCTTACTTGATTTCCATTACATTTATGAGCCAAGCCACTGCCGTAAAAGCATCCATTACTATTCAAACTCGTACATGCCATTCATAATTCAATGCTTGCACACATATCGATTTATGTAAATTTATTTGCATTTTCATTTTATTAACACATTTGTTGGATGAACAAGTTTGCTGTTTTAATTTTTAGTTTCGCTTCATTCATTCATTGTAATTGCTTAGCAAAATGCTCGGGGGAAGCTACAGATGTACATATGTATGTATGTACTTGCATTCAAATCTATGTAGATGTAGATATATGTACATATGTATGTAAATAAATGACATTTGCTCATATTAATAAACTGCATTACATTTATTAAGCACACAAATCACAGTTCCGTCACCTCCTAATCGTATGGACTTATGTAATTTGGTGTTGGAAATCCCATAAATTCAATGCTACTAATAAAAAAATACTATTAATAAAATTCATGCAGGGGGTCGTACATTTACTTATGTATTTTCGCATACCGACTTGATTGTTTGATTGTATAAATTTATGTATATAGCACCAAACTGCGCATTAGGGTGGTCCAACAGTAAAGTCGGCATTGTAATGCTCTCCCCCCTAGGATTGTTCTATATCGAAAAAAGTGTACCCCTATTTTTTTTTTTTTTGAATTCAAAAAATATTTAGAGATGGCTCAAAGCTTTCCATGTATTTTTATATGGCAAAAAACAATTTTTCGTAGAAATTGTACAGAATTCCTTAAAATCAATATTTTTTGATCGGAAAACCCTGGAGGAGACTTTTAATAATAATACCTAATTGTTTATTTAACCATTTTTTAATACTAGCGATTTTTTATTTTTCCGGGTTTTTGTGGCTTTTTTGCGGACATATAAATTTTAGTTGCGATGAAAAAATGGTTAACTAAACAGTTCGGTATTACTACGAGGACAGATAAACAGAGTTTTCAGATAGATAAATGTTGATTTTTAAGAATTCTATACCATTTCTAGGAAAAAGTTTCCCCCCCCCCCATATAAAATACATGGAAGACTTTGGGCGCCTTGAGCGACCTTTAAATATTTTTTGATTTCAAAAAAAAATATTTTTCGGTATAGAATAATCCTAGGGGGTGAGGGCATACAAAATCCGGCTTTAGTTTTGCGCTTGCATTTTTGAACCACCCTTCTGTATTTACAATTAGCAAATATTTGACTTGCTTCGCGGCGCCGGATTAGAAATTTTGCGTCTACCAGTGCCAATTGCAACGACTGAAGAAATTTAAGTCCTTATAAGAAAACTGAAGAGCAGAGATGTGCTTTCTCATTTACTTCCTGTGCTACCAATAGCGGGTTCCGTTCCGAGTTGAACACAACATGGCCAAGCCAGAGGAAGGGCTGTAGTCCAATTCGCCGCACTATGTCTATATCGTTGTAAAGCTCAGACGACTCTTCGTTTAATCGCGCCTTCGCCAACGCGCAAGGGTTAGAAGCTTTCGCTGAATCATTTTCTTAAAAATTCTAAGAGCCGCTTTATCAGATATTTTCACTGTCCATGGCTCCGCGACATACCTCAGTGCGGACATGATGAGTGACTTATAGCATGTGGGTTTTGTACGCCAAGAGAGGACTTTATTTCTCAGTTGTCTACTCAGTCCAAAATAGCACTTACTCAAGGCGCTGCGAAGCCTGCGGGGTATTTGCTAGTTGAAGATATTTCTAAATCGAAGATTTCTCAAATACTTGGGTTTGAAACCCATATTGTAATACATATTTAGCTTATCTTATCCATTTACCTGAATACTCGTATTATTATATTTAATTTAATTTAATTTATTAATTTAAATAAGTAAAAGTTTTAAACAGGTGGCAATCGCTCTAAAAAATATTTTCTTAAACCTCTTCGATTTGATACCCATAATGCAATATTTAATTTATCTTATTAGCTAAATAAAAATTTTGAAACAAGTGGCAACCTTTTACAAAAATACTTTCGGGTTTGCAATATTTATTTTATCTTATCAATTCGCTTAAACCAAATTTTCACACGGCTGACAAATCTCTAATTTTTTCTATATTTTAAGGTTTACCTCTCGAAATGCATCGGTGGAAACTTAATTTTATTTCATTCATTTTTTTTTTTTTTTTTTTTGTGATGCGTGGTCAGACGTAAGTACTGACAAATAGACTGGCAGACCAAAATTCTAAACATTGTTGGTTTGGCTCCGGTTGCTTCAAATAAAGATCCCCCATACTATAGATTTTCCTGTAATATATATAATGTACAGACATCGGCCTTTTGCAATTTTATGTTATGTATTTATAGGTATTAAAATTTTGTGAATAATTTCAAATAAGCTAATGGACAACATCAATGTGTATAGTTGGAATCAAGGAAAACTAAATCTTGTTTTACTTGGGCTGCTACAAGCAACCGTTCATGAACAAAGTTTCTTACAATGTAGAAATAATTAAATAAAGTAGTAGAATTTTTATATAATATTGAAATGAAGAATTATATAAAAAAATAAAAATAAAAATAAATTCAGTTTTAGTGTTTTCTTTTTACGCTTCACTTGTAGTTCCTCTATACATATTGTCAGCCAATGCTTTTATTTATTTGCATTTCCATTTATTAATAAAAATGTCAAGATGGATGGGTGCGTTAAACAGGTATGCTAGTAAAATGTGTGTGTGCTACACAGATCGAAAAGTTACAATAAAAAAGTCTGCTGATGGGTTGGCCAACCGACTGAATGCGCTCCCCCTCATTCGTATGCAAAATATACACACAGACGAATGAACATGCTTACGAGCAATTCCTTATATCTCTTTTTTCTATAAACTTAACTAAACTTGTTCTTAACAACTGATTAAATACAAAAAAAAAAAACAAAACTCTTCAGCTAATTCTAAACGTGCTTTGTTAAGCGACGCAACGCTGAGCTGCTTAGATTTTTGATTCCAGCACAACAGACTGTTTAGACAAAGTGTCTTTCATTTAGAAATTCATTTTGATTTAGCCGCTCGATAAAGACGCATTTCACATTTCACATTTCGCTTAGCGGCGCGCGTACAAAATTTCACACACACACACACACACACACAGGCAAAATCATACTTCTTCAAAAACTGCTGTCGGTGTTGAAGAAATAGAATTTTATAAAAATTCAGATGGATCTCGGCGAAAATAAAGTGCAAGTGATCGAAAGCGAAATCGTTTTTTAATTTAGATATTTACTTTTTTCTTCAAACGCAGTGTATATGTATATTTGAAAATTGTTTTAAGTGCCATTAGAATTTTTATTACATTTTTGCGAATGCCTGAAAGTCGCCAGCTGCTCATACCCACCACTTAACGGCAATTAAGAGGCCTAATTTCAGCGCCCATATCTATTAAATAAAAATCAAACAAAAGCACTTAATAGCTATTTTACGCTTAGCATTCGTAATTTAAAAAAAATGTCAACAAAAAGTAATTTGCGTGTTTGTGTGCCCAAATGGCAATGGCAGCAGCGGGTGTCAATCGCCAAACTCTCACTCTCACTGACAGTGCTGCTGCTGCTGCTGCTGCTGCTACAACGACTGCCTATGGGCGACAGCAGCTACCAGTATTCCTGGTGTGATTCGAATTTATGCGAGAAAGGTGTGCGACATTTGGCCTGCCGCAATAATGGCGTAAGTGGCAAAACCAATTGACGCTCGTACAACAAAAAAAGTTTAAATAAATCTTTACCACTTTCCATCTGCAGAACTTCGCCAAGCGCTGCGCCGCCGACGCCATTGAGCTAGACATCTCCGACTATAAGGATCAGTTTGTGCACGAACATAATAAGCGTAGAAATTTCCTAGCGCTCGGCCTTTTGCCTGGCTACTTTCCCGCTTCTCGCATGGCTACTATGGTAAGTGTTTGCTCATTTGCTAATTATGTCATTTGCATAAAGTCAATAGCAATATAAATAATCGCAATTAAATTGCATTGTGCGTTTTGTGTTTTTTTTGTTTTTTTGTAATCAAAAAGTGCTAATCACTCAATAATAACCATTAAATCTATAAATGATGCGGGTTAAAACAAAAGACTTAAGCAACAAACTCGTTTCGCTTTCATTTGCATTTTGGTAAGTTAATGTGCGCGTCCAACTCGTTGGCAGAGTGTGTCTTAGTACGAAAAGGCAAAACAGGAAACGGGATACAGCAAACTGGATAAAACAAAATCCAGAATCAGCCACATCTGCTTAGCCGCTTGCCAAGTGTATTGCCTCAGGATTTTAGTGGGCGTTTTTTTTTTATGCAATTGCAAGTTGTAAAAGCTCCAACAATTTTATCGCAAATAAGTCTGTCGCTGCAAGTCATCAAACAAAGTGTAGAGTTTTTATGAGAATCACATTGATTACTTAATTTTGAAAATGATAGATTTCGATTTTATAAATTGTATGTAGCTCTGTTTATTGAAAGTATTTGTCTGCACATTTTATATTCTTGTACCCAACGCAGAAACCAAACTACAAAAATGTGTATAATACGGAAACCATACCGAGTATACAGCCACTGGCAAAAGTATTTCAGCATTGATTTTTTTGAGATTTTGAAAAGGTTTTCCATAGTCAAATTTTTTTTAATAAATATAGAGCTCATTCTAGAACAAACATTATGTAAGTCAGAATTTCAAACTTTTCAGCAAATTAATAAATTTTTCCTAAGAAATAAATTGTGGTACAAAGTTCAATAACATTGCTAAAATAGAAAAAAATCAACAAAATGTCAAACTTTTAATCAGAACTTTTAAAACAAGTTCGAGTATAAAGTTTAATTGAATGGGCAATTTTAGTACAATAAAGTGGAAGTGGTTTGAAGTTGCTAAAGATACCGTTAATTTTTATTTTTTTTTTTGTTGACGATATTGAGCATTTTCTCCGTAAATGAATTTTTTTATTCAACGTTTGAAATTTTATTTACATGGTTTTTGTTGTAGAATTAGCTTTACATTTAAAAAATTAACAAAATAATTCACCATGAAAATCGTAACTAAATCATCGACAAATTCCGTTTACCGGTGACTGTACGTTTTATAAATAAAAGTAAGAAATTACATTTGACATTTTTTATTTTTCACAAGAAAATAGAATGCTTTAGAATTAAAAAGAAGCAAAACTAAAATTTAAATATTTCTTCGCTACGAAATACGAATGGTCACTCAACATTCGAAAAAAATACCGAAAATCAAAAGAGAGAAAAACTTCGAAAAACTCGGGAAAGCTTTCAAAATTTCGCGAAAAAAATCCCGAGAAAATCTCGAGAAACTTAAAAAATCGCGTTTCACGAAAAGTAAGAAATTTCTAAAAACTTTGAAAACTCCAAGAAATCTTGCAATAAACCTAAAAAAAAAATCACGAAAAGTCCCCAAGAAAAAATCGATAATAGTCTCCTTAAAAAATCCTTAAAAATCTTGTTTCACGAATAGTAAGGAAGAAATCTCTTCTAAAGTTCCGAAAAGTTCCAAATAAATGCTAAGAAATGTTCCATAAAAAGACCGAACCAATTAAAAAAAAAAAAACTAAAAGTTATGAGTAATTCCACAAAAGTCTGAACTGTCTCGAAAATCTCGGAACAGAAAATTATAATAAAATTATCGGAGAAATCTCTTCTAAAATTGCGGAAAATACCGAAAAGAAGATCCCGAGGACATTTAAAAAAATCTTGAAAAGTTTTGAGAAATCTTGAAAGATGTTGAAAATTATTAAAGACACATGGTCTACTAACTAACTGGACTAAGGTTCAGAATAAATAATCCCGAACAAATGCTTAAAAATGTTGTTGAATGTTTTTGAAAAAAAAACCGAAAAATTTCAGAAAATCCAGAAAAGTTACGAGGAATTTCGAAAAAGTCTAACTCTCAGCGTGTTTTTTTAATAATCTTTCTAAGCTACTTGTAGTTACCGTTGCAGGATTTTTTCACCAAATTTTGCCATTCTGATTTTTGCTGTTAATTATCTGCTAGAAAAGTGGAGAAACAAAGCCACATTTCCACTGAGAGCTGATTTTGTGAACGGCGGCAGCGGTTTTGTCAAACGAACTTCGTCATCGCTTTGGTTGTGTGCAATCTCATATACAGCAGTGTGTTTTAATTTTCTTCCGACGAATTTCTCTGAGCTCTTTGATTCCGTTCATAAATTAAAGAAGAATTTTGTATATTTGCTTGTTAGCTTATACTCAGATTATAATCAGTTCCACACTATATTTAGTTACATCAAACCGTTTAGAGTTATGGGCTTTTTTTGGTGAAAAAAAAAACTTAAAAAAATTGTATAGAAAATTAATAAATGTACATAGAAATGAATCATGCAATACGAATATTGGTTTCCTAATACCTAAACGTATCAGAAAAAAGTAATACAGAAAAATATGCTTAAGCAGTGTTGCCACCTAGTTTACCAACAATATTTCTGTGTGTTTTCTTTGTTTTTTTACTTCAATTTTCTGCAGGTTTGGGATGATGAGCTGCAATTTTTGGCATCACTAAATCTACGCACCTGCATACTGGATCATGATTCATGCCATACAACCTACCGTTTTCAGTATTCCGGTCAAAATCTATGCGGTGTTGTACGCGATCGCAATCCGAATGTGAATGTGAGTGGTATTATCGAGGAAGTGATGGGACTGTGGTTCGATGAATATCCACTCATCGACAGCAGTTATATACGGAGATTCCGGGTCACAAAATATTTGTAAGTATTTGTTGTTGAACATAATAATATATATAGTTTTTTAAAACGTCACAGTACAACCTCTTGGGTACTTCATAGCAAAGGTGCTTCTGAACGCAAATATTTTTGGTTNAGATATTAACTTAAGTTCTTTTATTTAAACTTTTTTCTTCGGTCAATTTTTTTGTATGCTGCTAGTTAACGAACCAACATTCGGCCAAATGTACGTCACAAATAATTTTGCATACTTAATTAATGCACACAAACTATTTCAATTTTGATATCTTTTATGGCACCTGCTATCAAAAGAACCAGCTTCCAAGGAAGGTTGTCTTATGATTAGTCTAATTATGTATACAAAAATAAATTTGTTTCTATTAAAAATATCTAATTTTTCTCCACAAGGTTTCAGTGAACTATAAATACGGAGAAAGAAGACAAAGTGTGAAGGAAAGTGGTGTTAAAGGTTAATGAAATCAATATATAAATTCAAAGTCAAGGGAAACATAAAAAAAATATTTGGTGCTTAATGGGGTGTGCGATTATTCGCCTTTTTCCGAAACCGGTTTCCGGTAAACCGGTGTTATTTTACAAATTTTCTTTACAGCAACACTTAGTTATAGTCAGAAATCATGTCTAAAATTACAATGCAGATATATGTATACGTTACTGTTAACAAGTAATTTTTAAGCAAAAAACAAAACCGACTTCAATTCTCTATATAAAAATTTAAGATTATTGAAAATTTCTTCATGAAACAATGATCGGGTTTAAACCAAATTTGTATGGGCCCACATGTGAGCTACCACCATTTTCGTAGGAAAAATAATTATAGAAATCGGTCAACGTGGTCCAAAGTTATGTGGTAACATACATAAAAAAAAAAATGTTTAATAAAAAATATTCCGACGAAATGATAACCTTTTATTTTTTGTGAAGTCGCTTAAAAAATAGGTATAGCTTTTATTTATAAATGAATAAATCAAGTAAAACAGAAAAAATTTAGTGAAAAATTAACATTCTCCTTTCTAAATATTTGTTTTCGTAAATAATTTATAAAAATATAGGTCATACTAAAACATGAAAATAAAATCTGTAAACTTTGTGCAAAACTCAGAAAAATTCAATAAATTTGCGTACTTATTTCCAACTTTCAAAATTAGATTTTTTAAAAAATTCTAGGTTTGCAGTTTTATAGCCCATACTCTGTATGGAAAATACTGCGTGAAAAAATTGTCAAACTAAAATTGATTGGGTTATAAGACTGCATACTTAGAATTTTTCTAAAAAATCTAATTTTAAAATTGCAAATTAATGCGCAAATTTATTGAACTTTCCCGAGTTGGAAACAAAGTTTACAATTTTATTTGTATATCTTTTATTGTTGTATGAATTATATTTTTATAAAAAAATTGCGAAAAGAAATAAGAATAAAAATTTTTGCATATATTGCGAAAAATTCTCCGTGCCAATACTTTTGTCCGGCACTGTAAATATCTATTAATTATATTCCTAATTATAATTACATTGAATAAAGGAAATACAAGAATTTTAATTAATTAATTACAATTATTTTTCACAAACAAAAACATTAGATAAAAAAATGTTTTGGTTTTTTTTAGCGTAAATCAATCGTTTCCTAGACTCATTTACATTTAAAAATCGGTCGTAAAAGTATTCGCATACGAATGCTGTTTCGATCCGTTTACGACTGTTCGTAGGCGCTACACAATTTGAAGCGAAAAAGTACTCGAGAACGAATCGTAAACGACTATCATAAACGACTTTTATCCGTTTTTTTTTCGAGAAAATATACAGCTACTAGCTCGTTTATGATGATTTTGCTGGCTGGGCGTGCTCCAGTTCCATTTTAAATCAAATAAATATTTGGAATTTTCAATAGGTGTATCAAATGAAATGATTAGTAGAATACAGTGCACTATAAACAATTCAAAATGCAAAATTGTGGACTACATGATTTTATTTTAGTGTCATCAATGCTTTAGATTGACGCGGAGGGAAGGTTGATGACTGGCACCTGACCCCTTTTAGCTTTTAGTACATTATCTTCCTTTTTACATTTATCGTCATATCTTCGGCATTTACGGTCGGAAATTAAAGTATGATAAATCGATATTTTTTGTCCCGAGGAGTAAATTTTTTTAACTGACTTCACAAAAGGAGCTTTTAAAAAGCTTTCTTAACCCTTTTCAAAAATTCAACCAATGATTTTAAAAATGTTAAAATACATAATATATATAACGGCTAATTTGAATCGTTCATTTCAAAAATCACATCAACAAATTTTTAAAGGTTTGAGTTTTACCGTCAGCCAGGGTCCATTAAATTTGTGTGTTTAAAAAAGAAAGAGATCTCAGCTATTTTTTATTTATTTTTTCCGAAATATATTTCAAAACTATGAATAATACGAATCCAAATCACAATTGCACGAAAAATTTGTTAATATTTTTCAACAGATTACACTACTCACTATCGACTTTTCTGCCACGATTTACTTTTGTGACAAATACGGTCAACTGCAACTGCAGCTTGCACATTAATTTGATGTATATTTGATGACCGATTTGAAATCGTGGAAATCCTGGAAACTTCTGGATAACCTATGGAGCTTGCACTATACCTCAATTCTTTAGCTATTCCAGATCGGCCTAACTAAGTTGTATGACTGAGCAATTATATGTAGATGTAGAGGCATATGCATGCATGCATAAGTAAATATTGTAATAAAACTCGAAGTCAACACGTGCTTAACTTAGTAATCGCGCCCACATCATGCCATGCATGTGTCAACCTGTCAAAAGCTTTCCTGCTTTGGTAATATGCTTTTTCAATATATGTATGTACATTCAAGGGCGCACCCAGGAATATATTTTAGGGGGGGGTTTTATATTTCCGAAGATATATCACCGGAAAATACTGAAAATTTGCTTCAGATAATACCCTCTTTAAAATACATTTATGCAAGTTTTATGTACAGTATGTAATAAATAAATAAACGTTTCAAAATTCATAAACTGCACTTTATTTACAGATTAACAGAACTCAAACGCTTTTAACCGACTTCAAAAAA